CAGAATACGGCCATACGGAAACCGAAAACCGTATAACTCGCGTACACGCTACGTTTTAGGTACAACGGGTGTTTCTGGATACGGTAAGCGGGGGGGGGGGGAAGAAGGTAACGGTTTGCGGAATGGTACCGCGTGGTGTGTGCGCCGAGGTCGCACGTGCTCTTTTTGGGGGGAGGAGGAGGAGTGGGATGTCTGTGCGGGATGGGGGGGGAGGGAGTGAACGGTGTGAATGCGGTTGGGTGGATAAGGGGGGGAGGAGGGAAGGGTGATAATAATAATGATAATAATAAATGGATTTAGGGTATTCCGCGATTTGCGCTGGGAAAAAAGTATAAAAAAGGGAGGGAAATTTGGGGAAAATGAGGGGTTTCCCTTTTATGCTGGATGGCTTGGTTTCGGAAGGTAGAAAACAAAAAAAAAGAAGAGATGGAGGATGCATGGAAGGTTAGTATCAATTTCAAGTCGATAAGGGAAAAAAGAGGTACAAAATTCATTTCATTCATTCATATCCACTGAGCGCAACACCCCGGATTTCGATTCCCATTTCTTAATTCGTCCGTAACGGAACATTTCTCATAACTTCATAAAAAAAAAAGAGAGTTCGACTCATATCTTTATCCCAGCTCTAGTGCCACGTCATAACCTTATAAAACCACATGCCACATGGAACTGCAGTAGCGGAAAGTAAAAGCGAACGACAAAGCAGCCAAAAAAGGAAAATGAGGCATAGGGTACAAACACCCGAAAAAAGTGGAAAAATAAAGGAACAGAAAAAAAAGAGAGAGAGAGAGATCTAATAATACATGGAATGGTACAACAACCACGCCATCAAAGCCTCATACTCCAACCTCAATAGTCCCTCCTCCGATGCCTCCTCGTCTTAACCGGGGACCCGTTACCCTCGTCATCGCTGCTAAAATAGTCGTATTCGTCCTCGTACTCGTCATCGCGACCATAGTCGTATCCACGGTCAGGGCGGCGATCGCGCCTATTGTCGTCTCCGGAACGCTCACTACGCTCATCTCTTCGTCGCTCCTCCTCGCGATACTCTGCACCACGGGATTTAGAGCGGAAGCGGTCGATAATACTACGGCTTCTAGCGCGGAGACCAGTGCCTTTGTTGTTGTTGCGGTCCTCGCGGTCATGGGGCCGAGTGTGTGAGCGGGAGCGAGAACGGGATGCAGAACGGCGGTCGCTTCGGCTCCTGCTTATGCTGTCAGAAACTTCTTACAATGGGTCCAGGCAACGACGCATGTCTGTATTGATTTACGGATGTAGAAACTCACCTTGAGCGCGTGGCCAGTTGTCGGGCGCCGAGCGCACCTGCCGCTGCTCCTGCAAGCGTCGTCAGTCTACTTTTACCCATGGTCCTGCCTGCAATTCCGCCAGCCAACGCACCTCCCACTGACGCCGCAAGCCCTTTCTCGCGAAGGTCCATGCTGTCGAATCTACCACGCACTTTAGCCATGCGTGAATCTTCTCGACCATGGTCTTTGCTAGAATGGGAGCGACGGGAGTGGGAGTCGGCAGACCTGGCTCGACTCCTATGCCCATGTTCGCCACGGTGCCGGTGGCTACGGTAGGGGTCTACAGGAGGCGGGGCATATTGGATGACGTCTTCGCGAGCAACATGAGGAGCATAGGCTGGATACGGTGGGTTGGGCGTGGGGCTGTAGCCAGGTTGAGAGTTCGATCGTTGACGGCTGAATGGCGGTGGCGATGGTTGATATCCAGCGAACTCGGTATGGTGGTAGGGGTTCAAGGGTGAGTTTGAACCAACTGGTGGTGGAGGAATAGAAGCATCACTCATTGGTGCAGCATTATATGCACCGTTGGGAGTGTGTCGAGAGTGGCCTCGATGAGCATCTTGATGTATGTAGTCTGCATCAACGCCTCGGGTTGAGGAAGGTGCTGGCTTCGGGGGGTTAGTGAGTGGACGCTGAAGCAAAGCTGCAAGAGGCGGCTCATATGACGGGGTAAAGGAAGCAGAAAGTGGAGAAGGACGAGAAATATTGTCAAGGAAACGAGGTTTAGACAACAAGGGACTTGATGGCGTCGATGGTGTCCGGCTCTTCAACATCGGCCGACTCGTGTCCGCCGGTATCGAATGCTCGGGCATCGTCGCAAGCGTCGCACGTCGAAAAGATGAAAAGTTATTTACCTGGGGCGAGTATCCGTATGCAGGTGTTGCTGATTGCTGGCGTTCTTGGCCGGGACCATAGTGCTGGGGGTCATAGGGCTTGTACTCGGATGTTGGCGGAGGAGGAAAATAGGGCTGTCTTTGGTCGGGCTGGGCCATGATTTCTTGCGATTCGCTATGTGAGCCGTCAAGGTCACTGCTGTGCTTATGACGTCGGCCTCGACTTGAACTTCTGCTAGAACTTCTTCCAGCACTCCTTGCACGTCTTCGCTCTTGCTTTCTTTGCTCGTAACCACGGTCGTAATCGTATTCTTCTGCAGACTGATCTGCTGGGCTGAAATCTCTTCGTGAGCGGCGCGCGCTAGAGTGATCTTCGCTCCTGTATCGTTGTCTGGTCTCGTTTTTCTGACGGTCTTTGCGATCCTTTCCAGCGTTTTTCTCTTCTGGTGGAGTGAAGTAACCGCCTGGGATCTTGTGAAAAAACTTGTCGGGAATCTGCTCTGCACCGTAGCTAAGAGCCTTGAAGGCGAGAGCCGCCATCTTTCAAAGGGGCCACAGAATCCGGATGTCGGAATGTGACGTAGGTTTGACTTATGCGCCGCACTGTGATTGGAGCGCACTCAACTGGGCCGGGCAAAAAGACGGGGGAGCCTGGCTAGGAGGACGGGGTGCAGAAGGTCTGGGTATGAGAGTGGCGGATTAGAATGCAAGTGTTGTAGAGTGAGGAATATGCGTCAAGTTGGGAGCGATGGGCTAGTTAAGGTCGCTGTTGACAGTGTGGACGTTAGAAGAAGCAAGGTGACTGAGGTGCGTGCGTATGTGAGATGGTGTGCAATATGGCGAGTGGATCTTGATGGACAAGGGAGCAGGAGGCAATCAGCCAGGTATGTATATCTTCACCGGGCACCTGCGCTTAAACCCCACGATATACCCCGATTTGATACTTCAGGGCGAGCCAGTGCCAGGCGCGTTGGCGAGGTGGCTGCGATGACGTCGTTTGTAGTTCTGGTGGCTCGTGCGCTGTTGCTCTATTGGAGCCGCATCTCGAAGATCGCCTACACGCCTACGTACCATGGGAAATAGACCCTATACAAGCGAAACGGTAGCTCCCTGGATACCGCCATCATGGATGCTGCATGTTCTGAAGGATCCAAAACGTTCTATGACAACAGCCTCACAATCATCACCACGCAACTGCAAGAGGTTGTGTACGCACGCACACACACACACACACACAAGATACCATTGCGGTGTCCAAAACTCTCTTGGGCGCACTTGAATGCGGTATGGAATTGCCACAGAGTTGCCACAGTTTCTATTCTGCATCAAAAAATCCCCATTCTACTACTATTATGAGTACTATGGCCGGTGTAAGCGAAAAATCAAGGCTTGGTCTGGTCAGGGTACTACCCCATCTGCTTGCTAGCCACTGGGCCCTAGCAACTACTACCCATCCACACAGGGGTGTCCTCTTTTGTGGGACTACTTAGCCTATTGTAAAAATGGTAATGCGTTGGCAAGGCTCGCAGCTAGTCAGCCTTCGCGACCCCGGCCACTCGCATCTATGGAGCCAATGTGCGATGACGACATGTTCCATCTTCTGTGCTTCACCGCTTTCATCACACATCACGCGTGCACTCTGTGGCTTGCATAGCAGTCGAGCATTCAGTCGTCACCGTAGTACACATTGCGAAGCAGAGTGCCAGTAGAATCCATGTACTGTAAGCGTGGGTATCGCTGCCATCCAAATCATCCAAACGCCACCGCTCAAACAAAAGACTGCAACACAAAGGGCCTCCTTAGGCTCGGGCCACAGTCATACCTCGCCCATCGTCGATTCAAGGCTCACCAGGAGTGATAGCGACATGGTTGCGCACTTCGCCTGCGGGTCTGCCAGTGCTATCCAATACTTCAACCATGTCCTCGACCATTCCAAGGAACCTCTGCCTGTATTCATCGCTCGAAGTAGTGATGCTCATCGGACCATGATCCTTTCCGGGCTTCAGCGCGTTGAAGAGCTTGACCAGGCCTGTCAGCGTTTGGGCTTGAAGCGCATCTTTGGCCCAAAAGAAGTCAAGGATGACGGCCCTATAGACCCACTTGCCGTCGCGGGACACCAGACCACTACGCCATGAGGATCCACGTCCTGGAGGGGGCGGGATCTGGGTATTATCGGCAGTGCTAAGATTGGCTGGATAACGGACAAGGAATAGCGAATAGTCCACTGCGTTGTTTTCCTGCAGGATCTTCGAGTCTCGCGAGAGTTGCGCAATCAGCTCCTCCTTTTGATCAATCGTTACCCGCACCTTGTCGTTGAACTCGTCAATGAGACGCTCCTTTACACTCTCTGGCGCAAGTCTGCCGTTTGCTATGTCGCGCTCGGGGTAGAAGTAGTCGTTTGGCTTGAGGTCATACGTCTCCCATTGTTTCTGGTGGTGCTCGCTGCAAGTGGATTTCCCGTACATGATGTTCTCCATTATGATGTGATGACTCGGCGCCGTACCCAGTGTAGCGCCAACAGTCGCTGTGGGGCAGTAGAGGAGATCGGTTATGCGGACCAAGAGTGAGTCTTGGTTGAGCTCCATGTGCTCAACATAGGGATCGAGAAGACGGTTGCGGAAAAATGACTGTTCGAAATGCCGTGGCAACGACTTGACCAAGAACTTGGAGTTCGGTGTTGTGAAGAACGTCTACTATAAATTAGTGAAAAGGCTCATCAAGCATACAATAGCTGGGGCTCGCGTACCGATCCCGAATAGCCCAGGTCCCCAACTGCTACCAGGTCTTTCCGCTTACTGCTGCTAGGGCTGCGGAAACTCTCCGTGTACTCCTCCTCTTCTATCTCCCACGTTTCATTTCTCAGCTTCTTAAATAATGACGCGCGAAATCGTGCGAGAGTAAGGTTGAAGAGGGCGAAAAAAGAGTAAATGCGCGCCCACAGGCCCAGGCGTCCATTTTCGTCTTTCCTGGGAGAGTCGGACTTGAAGACTGCGCGTAGGATCGAAGTGCTAATGAGACGATCGCGGCGTCCCATGTTGAGCTACGTGCGATATGCTCAAGTAGGTGATTGTGTAGAGCTGTCAGTGTTGTAGACATGTGAAGCGTGTTGTAACCAAGGGCCGCTATGTCGTAGTGACGTCAACGCGCTAAAAAGTCGACGGCCTTGAGTAGCAAGTCTGTGCAACAGAACTTCACCAATAGTCTCTATACTAGTCTCTTGGTATCTCCGCAGAACACTTGGACACGTCTGCGTCTCAGAAGAAACCATATCGACATCTGGCTGGACTGGGCGATGCGGCTGATGAGTTCGTCTTCTACTGCAGCTAACATTTAGCTTCCAGGGCGGCCGCCACAGGGACGCCAGTGTTGTTTTGAGCCATGCTTTTTCGTGGATTTGAAGATGCAACGTCTTGACAGTTGGAAATCTATGGTATATTACTGGTGCCAATTCAATGAAGACAGGTTGGGTCAAGAGTCAAGATGATGATCATATATACTCTGGACGCATTATCAAGACAAAACACATCCCTGCCAGACTCTGCACTTGTTCTAGGGTGCAAAGACCTCTCAACAATATTCTTAGATACCTCAATATCCCCGCAATATCAAGTATTTGCTATTAAAAGTCCAGATAGCAGTGGGACGCATTAGTCGGCTGCAGTCATCAGATTAATATCCACTTGCAGTAACAATGTCTATTGGCTCTTTTAAGATCCATCTCCGCGGCAAACTGCGGAGAGAGCATTCGTCCCGGTAGATTACTATCTTGGCAACATCACGCGGTTGTGAACCTCAAACGAGGGGTCTATTTCTTACATCTTGCGAGTTCTGGACCGTGGTGTGACAATGGCTTGCAACCTCATAAGCCGTGTATGCAGAACATAGCCATTGGTCTGGAAGCGTCTGAAAAGGCGTCCTGCCAAGTGCATGTTTGTATGACCATGGCGATAGACCCTTGAAGGTATAGAACTTTCCTCTTCAACTTATCCCGGCGGTGAGGTTGACGGCTTGAGTCCCCACATGATTGTGCCTCTCGCATTCATCGTAAGAGTAATCAAAGGTCCCTCCTAGGCGTCCGGCCTGGCTATTGGTGGCTGTTATACTTTTGTTGACAAACTATCGAGTGGACGCCGTGTGCTACCGCTGCAGGGTCATTATGACTATGCTGACATGTTAACCTTATTCAGCATGTTACGACTAAACATACAAATTCCATATGTGCCTCAGTGTATAAAATGAGAATGAACAGTCAGCAATATACATTAAGCTTGCAGAGAACTTGGCATACGGGCTCACGAGCAATCTTTGTATTTTTTCCCCAAGTCTCAACCTCATTCTTGTATTTGCAACATACCCAAGTCACAACATGGCGGCGGCAGATGTCGAGCAACCACCTGTGGAGGAGGCTGCACCCGCACTACCAGACTACCTCACAAACCCCAATGCTGTCCTGGGAGACGAGGAGGTCAAGTGGCGATACGGGCGAGCACCAGATTACACCAAAACGCGAAAAGTATATGCCGAGAGTAAGTATCGCAATTTGGAGAAAGGACCAAGTTGTGTGATGTGGTTATATTTTTCGTGCTCATCTAATCGCACACGGCAGCAAAGCAAAAGACACACGAAGCCGGGTCTCTGCCCCAACTGGTCGAGAACCTAGTCAAGAACTGGGAAGTGGAAGCGTCGTTTAAACCAGATATTTCCGACTGGCGCACCATTGACCCTGCAAACTACTCGTTTGCCATTAACGGGGGCAAGGCCGAAGGAACAGAGGCTATGCTCGAAGTGGGCACGTACAATGCCATTATTGCGCCAAACGAGTACTACTCACCCGAATACTCGGACTTTGCGTCGTCGCACAAGACGTTCAAGCGCATGATGCCGACGTTTGCGTGGGAGGTGCTCGAAGTGTATAGTGGACCACCAACAGTCAGTTTCCGGTGGCGGCACTGGGGTATCATGAAGAACGACTATGTGGGATTCAACAACAAAGGAGAGAAAGTGACAGCCAAGGCGCACGGAGGGTCCATTGATATCCAGGGCGTGACTGTTGCGACGGTCAACGACAAGGTGCAGTTACGTGAGGTGAGGACGTGGTTTGACCCCATGGACATGTTTAGGCAGATTGCGCCGCACGGTGTAGTTGGCAAGGAGAACAAGCCGGACAATGTATCACCGGCGGATGCGCTGGATGAAGCGCAAGCTGGTGTCGAGGTACCTGAGGAGCAGGAGCTTCCTGATGCTACTGTACAGAGCAAAGAGGGGTTTGAGCGGACCACTGCCGAGATTGATAAGAAAAGGGCAGAGGAACAGAGAGCAGAAGATGTACCAGATGGTCATGTTGACGTTTCCGGTGCTCAAGGCGATGTGGGCGCGTGTCCATTCATGTCTGGGGCGACGCATTAAGCGAATTAGAGTGACGAAGCTCGTGATTATAACTCTGACTAGTTGGAGATTAGTAGGCATGTAGTATGACCGTTTAGCGTATGATACTTCTACGATCAAAAACTCCACTGTTTTGCGCATACTCTCTGTGCTAGGACAGAGCGTCTATATGAGTCAAGTGGCGAAGCAACTCGCTCTTTTGAAAACTGGGAAGCACCACGATGGGTTCCATGCCAAGGGAAGAACATGGCGGCTATGGCTTTTCTTTGGTTCTTGCCAGATTGCAGTACTCGCGTTTTTCACATAGTGTGTCCAATGCAATGGTATCTGCATAGGCATCCATCTCGCATTATCAGCAGCAAGCCGAGGAACGAGCAACCACGTGTGCATGCTGTGTGGAGACGGGCGGGCCAGCATTTCTTTACTCATCAATGACTGTACGGTGTAGACTTGGTCGGTGGCCGACTTGATTCGACTAATCAGGGGGGATATGGAAGTCCTTCCTAGTCTGGACAGAAGTCACGTTCGTGTTGGAATCATAAGTGGGGCATGCAAGAAATACAGACGCAGCTGACCAATGTGGAAGCGGCGATATTCAGGCTGCATGGGCAAGAATGAAGCTGAGGAGTCAGTTGGAGGAGCAGGCGGGCGGCGGGCTTGGGCGATGTGCAGTGGAGGGTGTGGTGGCGAGAGCATGGATGGACCCTCGATGGGTTCGTCGGGTGTGTAGTGCAAAAGGATGCCGTCTGGCGTGGCCTTGGGCAGATGCAGTGACGAAAAGGCGATACATTGTCAGTGTGTAGAGTAGATGGAGGAGGTGTAGAGTCCAAGCCATGCAGGCCGGGCGTTGCCTGTTGCTTGCCCAACTATGCTCTTGGCGCCGTATGTAGGGCTCGGGTCGTAGGCAGCAGTGAGTCATAGCCTCGTTTGCTCACCCCATCAGCATCGTCATGATCACCGCCACAGTCGCGGTATTTGGCCGCCTTGGGTTCCATACGGTCTCACTGTGTTGATGGCCCGTGGCGATGGCGATGATGGTGGTGGTGGTTGGTGGTTGGTTGTGTTGATAGTGCACATGCGGGAATGATTTTTTTCGCAGCCGTAGATCGAGGCCATGGCTGGGGGAGGGCGAGGTGGCGGGCTGCGCTGCACTACACTGGGCGACGCTGGGCCGGGCTGGGCTTCTGGCTGTGTTGCAGTTGCAACAAGCGGGGGTGGCTAGCGCATTTGCATCCGGCCTGGCTCCCTCGCTCGCTCGCACTCGCTCCGCCCACACCGGAACAAGTCGCGTTCCGGGCGAAGAGGGCAGTGTCGGAGGGGCAGGCCGGCAAGAATGGCACAGGAACGCTGGGCTGTGTGTGTGGGTGTGACTGTGGGTGTGCCTGTGCCTGCACCTGCACCTGTGTGCGTCATGGGGGGCGAGCAAGGCATTTGGCCGGCGGAGCAGCCAAATGAACATGGAACTGGAATTGCATCGTCGCATGATGAGATTACGAACGTCGCAGCAGCCATTGAGGCGTCGGCGGTACACAGAGGCCATGCACGGCACGTCCAAGGCACAGAGCTGCCTGTTTGCGGCCTAGCGCGCGTGCATCGGGCCAATGGCGGCGCAGCCACACAACCACAGCCGGTCCCCTCATCTCAACCCAGCTGAGGGCAAGCGACGAGGGTGTCACGTCAGAAACCGCCGTCCCGCGCTACTCTGGCACGGAGCGTTGGAGAGCAGACGCGTCCATGGTGGCAGCGAAAAGGGGACGCCGTGTGTCGCAGCAGCTGGGCCCCTTGGTCGTCGCCGCGTTCCAGTGTGAGTGTGCAGTTGGTCGCGTAGCCTAAGTACTACAAGTAGCGCAGCGACAGGGAGCCAGGGAGCCAGAGAGCCAGGGAGCCAGGTGGGCGGCAAACGGCAGACTGGAACCAGCAATAATAGCAGCAGCAATAGCAGCAATAGCAGCAGCAGCACAAGCACCGGCACCAGCTGCGCCAGCCATGGCGGCACTGGGCAGGCCTTGCCATGCGACTGCGGCCAGTCGATGGATGCGTGATGATGGGTGGGCGGAAGCGTCTCACGCCCCTTTGCGTTGGACTCCTGCACCCGCAGTGCATGCTCACTACTCTGCATGCGGACAAGAAGCTGCTTCAGCAGAGGCAGAGAACAACAACAAGACGTTCTGTTGTCGAGATGCACATGGACGACAGCAACCATCCACGGCCTGCATGGCCACGGGTGTGTGCCCAAGTGGCGGCGGGCTGCACCCATCGCACGTGGGAACAACAATGAGGCAAAGCAAAGAAAAAAAACCCTGCGCCAGAGCGATGAGTCTTTAGCCAGGTCGCCAGTCGCGCTGCTGTGTGGCAAACAGGCAACCTGGCCAAAGCGCCCGACCTGGCAATGACTGGACCGGGGGCGGCGCTGCGACGAGGGTACGGGGGTTCCTATTAGTATCGCCAGACTGCCGCCCAGCCCGTCCTCTCCCATCAAGACAGCAGAAATGGACTTCACGACTCCCTACAGCGCGCCCTGGGGCCTCAACTAGGTCTGCCTCCTCCACAGTGTCGTCTGTTCTCTGTCGCCATCGCCCTCTGCCGCCTAAATCCGCCTCCCGCCTTTGTCCAGGTAGCAGTCACCGCACGACCGCCCGTCGCCGCCACCACACTGCCGCCTACAGCCTACCATCCATAGACTCATCCTCACTCGTCCACTACTCACCCGCCCCCCAGACGAGAGAAAAAGGCCCAAGAGCCGCATTCTCTGACCCTCTCTTTCAACCTCATCTGTCCTGTACCTGCGTCGCGATACCGCTTCCCCGCCACCGTTGCTGTTCGCGCCTTCCCACCTTTACCGACTCTCCGACCGCCACTTCCTCACACGTCAGAACCTCCAGCTCCTCCCCCCCTCCTCCCACCAGTTTACATGTACACCACCATCCAATAGTAATACTCCACACACTCACCACACAACCAACCAACCACACACAATCTCTTCGACCTTCTCGTTCCCCACCATCCCACTGCCAGCGCGCGCCAAGTCGCTCCAGTTTGGTGTTACCGCTGCTCGGTAGCCACCATCCTCGAACACTTCACCCGCCGCGTTCCAGTACCACAATGTGCTATTCGGCCTACACTGCTTCAGTCACTCGTCGCTCAGAATTCACCATTACTTTCGGAAACAAGGCCTTCATCGGAGGCTTCGCTTGCTAGACTTTTTCCCCGCATCCCCTCAGGCTTTCAGCTCGTGCGACAGCGCCCACCCCGCTGTGCAATAGCTGCAACATCCGAGTGCTTCGCGGACAGTCTCCTACAACGGTCTTGTTTCGGTGATTCTGCAGTTGACAGTGACTGGAGTCTTCTTCTCTGGTAACGCATCTGGCAGCTTTTTTCGACCACTTGACACTGTTCGAATCTTCCTACCATTTGCGACCTCGTCAACCTCCCCTCGATCCTCTTACGTTACACGCTCCTCGAGCTCTCCAGACCGTAATCACACCACTTGTACAGTCACTCCACCCGTGACCACCGAGTGCTGAGCGATCCGGATCCAGATCTCAAGAACAACATACGTCAGAAGACACAGGGTCGCCCTCTTACGGTTTGTCCCATCGGTTAAGTCCTCGGTCACCCCACGACCACCTCATCACGCTCTTCGCAACCTCTTCAGGTCTACCTAACGGTCAGCACTCGAAGACGTAGTGACAAAGCATAGCCACACCTCTCCACTCCTTCCTTTATTGTCCTTTTCCTTTATCAGGTCACATTCCTGTCCAGACACACACACAAACACACACACACACAAACACACACACACACACAAACACACACACTTTCATAAACATGAGTCTCGATATCCCCCGTTCAAATTACGGCTTCTTGCCCGAAACACACCCATATGCCGCCCCCCTTTCTTCCTCGGCATCCTCTTCCACCTCATCAGTATTCTCAGACGCTGCATCACAGACATCCAGCGCAAGCTCCAGATCAACCCATTCCAATTGGGACTCTGAAGAATGGAGTCGCAGCCAGGCCGCACAGACATCTACTGTTGACTCCACCAACCTGTCTGCCTTTCAACAACTAAGCAGAGTAAGCACTTTCCCTCAGTATCAACATGCAGTATGCAGGGACTCTATGCCAGAGAGGCTCCCTTCTCTGCGCGCAGAGTTCCTGGCCCCACCGGAGCAGCGACAGAATCCACGTCGATCGTCGGCGAACGTCAACCAAAGACCTCCGCCCCAGCTCGTCCGGCAATCCGATCGTAAGGTTAACTTCGTCGATTGCCTCGTCGGTTAGTACCCACTTTATCCATGGCCCAAAGACCACTCCGCTGATTTTTTTCCTCCTTCAAGATTCCGCTACTCAAATGGTTGAGGTCATCTGGCAGCTGTCTGAGCCCAAGAGCCGCTGTGAGAATGCTTCTGGACGCGGAGTACTTCCTCTTCGCATGTTTATCCAGGAGACTCTCCGCCGATCACGCACTAGCTACTCTACGCTCCAGGTTGCTCTGTACTACTTGATTCTCATCAAGCCCCACTTGCCCAAGCATGACTTCACAATGTCACAGCCTGAAGATGCTTCTCTTCGCGCCCTCCAGTGTGGTCGTCGCATGTTCCTTGCTGCGCTCATCCTTGCGTCAAAGTACCTGCAAGACCGCAACTACTCGGCTCGCGCGTGGAGCAAGATCTCGGGCCTCAAGGTTTGTGAGATCAACACCAACGAGATGGCTTTCCTCGAGGCTGTCAACTGGAAACTCCACATTGTGGATTCAATCTGGGAGAAGTGGCAAGAGGTCGTTTTGCGATATACTCCTACCCTTCCCCCTCCTTCACCCGGAGCTTCGATTCCTAACCACTGGAAAGACGTCATTCCCATGTTGACACCTGAGCTGGAAATCATTGAGGTGGTCCCCAAGGCTTCCAACGCTCCTGTCCGCCCGCCATTAAGGACACAGCTGAACGCATCGCCCTACCGCCAGCCATCTCTTGACGGATGTGGATCGCAAGAAAGTACGCCAACTCCGTCTCTCTACCAAGTGCCTCGCTTCTTGGAGCCAAAGCCAGACCTTGTTCGCACACCATCCCTGCCGTCCATGGCTCGCTTGGGTCCCTTGCCCACGCCTTCACTGACACCGCAGCCAATTGCCAACAACACCCCTGTCGCGGGTGCCATGTCTTTTGGACTGCGGCGTACGTCAATGTGCACTGCAATGCAACAAGCGCAGTGCTCGTCATTGGCGCGCTCTTGCGTGGATCAGTTCAACCCCAGCATCAAGAACGGTCTGGAAGCCTACCACTTCCCGAGCCGACGACCTTCCCTGGCTGCTTCCAACGGTTCCCTATCATCATCTCCAGAGTCTATGATCTCGGATAACTCACGCTCCTCACGTGCCTCGTCAATCTCGTCAGTTTCATCCGCCGGCTGGGCGCCAAACCAAAGTCAAGCCAATTTGGCCCGACTGGCGACCTGCCGCAGCGCAAAACTGCCGTACCCGACATTGTCCAAGTGCAAGGAGCAATACGAGTATGCCCCGAGCGAGGCCTTGTCCTCTCCCGATCTGGATAGCTTCCACATTGATGATTCGGATTCTTCGCCTGCTAAGGTCGCGAGTCCTGCCGTCGTCGCTCCTGCCAGTCGTAAGCGCGGAAGGTCATCTGTTGATCTCCAGCAAAACGTGCGACACCTTCTCCACACCACCCGCTCGGCATTTGATCTTCGCCACAAGACTGTCCTTCCTGACCGATCGGTTGCACAGTCATTCGCCTTTACCTCGCGCAGTGAACCAAAGGGGCTGCAGTCCCCTAAGAATACCGCGCCGGGTTGCTCGCGTCTCCCGGTCCAGAAGGACTTTGGCAAGAAAAGATCATGCTGTAGCACAGAGGCCGCGCAGGCATATCGCCCACAAGGCCCTGGCATGTGGGCTGGCATCCTATGAATATGACGTATCGTCTACGAATACTGAAAAGCCAAAAAAAGAAGGCTTAACGAAGAAAGGGCAAGGAAATATCATCCCCTTATTGATTTACCCTTACCCTCCATATCCACATCCACACAGTCTCTCTACACGCCCGTGTATATTTTCTTAAACCACGTCTAAACCACTCGACAGTGTACGTTTTCCTAGTTTTGGGACGGCACAAAAGGGTGTACAATACATGTTTGATTTTGCAGCTATTTAGCTCTCTAGTATACCTAATAGGTTTACTTGTTGGCGTTTTCTTTTTTTTTCATCATCTCTTTTGTTACATGTTATCAAATCTTGGCGTTAACAATTATCACTGGGAAAGCTTGCTCGGTTGAGCAACAGGTGGGAAATATCCTCGATTTGCAGCAAAGGGTGCATTTAGCATGGTCAAATGGATTGCAGGCAGGAAAGGAGTTTCAAAGTTGGCTCGTACGCCACAATACCCTTGGTGCAGTGTACGTTTACGCTACGGCGGTTTGATGACGTGCAGCGCTACATCTAGTGAGTAGATAGTGGTAGTTGAATCAGATGCTGATGATGCTTATTTTCTGTTGTTACTGTCTTTTTCCTGTGATGTTTTTCCACCTGACTTATCTACAATCCCACTAACACCCATTCATCATCTCACACCCTCCTCGTATCATTAACATGTCTCCCCCCTCCTTGTCCCTGCCCATCCTGTTCCCTCCCCATCTCCCTAGCAATCGTAACACTCTCCCTCACCGCCCTCCCCACCACACCCCTCACCCCCATCTCCTCCAACACCATGATCCCCCCAATCGTACACCCCTCAGGACTCGTCCCCATATCCCTCACCTCGCCCGTCTTCCATCCCCGCAAAAACATCTCTGCACTCCCAGCCATACTCCTATACACCTGCTCCTGCGCCATTGCCCGCGGTAGTCCTACGGCAACCGCTGCGTCCACCATTGCATCCACGATTACGGCCCAAAAGGCGGGTGTGGAGCCGCTGACGGCTGTTGTGGCGGCCATGTGGGATTCGGCGATGAGCGTTGTGGTTCCTATGCTGGAGAAGAGGGTAGTGGCTGTTTCGAGATGGTGAGTTGGGAAGGGGGGAGTGCTGGGAAGGGGGAGTTGGATGGCGGTGTGGGAGTGCGAGATTTGGGCGTGGATTGTGGGGAGGGCGCGGAGGATGTGGAGGGTTGGGTTGGTTTCGGTGGTGGGGAGAGGGGAGGACGAGGGGGAAGGGGGTAAGAGGGTGGAGAGGCGTGTGGTGGAGAGACCGGCTATTACGCTTATTACTAATTTCCCGTCTTCGTTTTTGGGCGTTTTGTCGGGAGAATGGAGGTGGAAAGATGAGGCTATCTCCGGGTTGTTGAGGAGAGAAGTTACTTGGGAGGGGTCGACGGCGAGGAGGATTATGCTTGAGTGTTGGATTGCGTGGGCGATGGAGGGGGTGGAGCGGGCTATGGAGAGTTTTTCTGAAGTGATGTGCTGGGCGAAGAGAGTGCTGAGGCGGGATTCGGAGCTGGCAGAGGAAATGCAGGCTGTATAGTGGGTGAATTGGGTGGCATTGGGCGAGTTGAGGAGGCCTGAGAGGATGGGGGTGCCGAGGTTGCCTGAAGATGGTTGGTATGCTGATTTGAGGGGGATGGGAGTTAAAGGTGTTTACCGCAGCCTAGGACGCAGAGCCTGTTCTGGGCCATAATAACATTTGTTGTCGTGAGAGTCGGGTCTTGGAGATTGGTGGGTGGGTGGGGGTGTATGTTGCTGTGCTTCGCTGACCTAGAGTAACTTGATCTTTTCAGCAAGGGACGTATTGGTAATTTTAAACTCGTTCCTGCTAAGTTTGTGTTTGCTACGAACGAACCACCACTGCTTGCCCTTTTATGTTGATGTTGCAGCTAGCGCTATCTCAGAAGCGAATACATTTTCCTAATTCGATCAAATAGTGAGGGGTGAGCTAGCCACCACAGAAATTTCGAATCACGCCCTTGTACTTTGCGTGAGCGTTTTGTTCCACCTCATGTCCCACCAAATGATAATAATTTCAAAAACTAAAACCTAGAGATAACCTGTTGATGCATGCACACTGATCTTCTTCCAGACTATCTTCCAACTGCGAATGATTGGAGACCATTTGGCATAATACGTGAAATTAGAACACCATATCTACACTCTATCTCTAAATTACACCCACATAAATCTCCTCCTAGCCTCCTTCCTCAGCGCTGCAAATTCATCCTTCGTTCTAAGCACCGCATCGCGATTCTCCACCGCCCGCCGAAGCAAATATCCCACACACTCGCCTATGCTACCCCATGTCGTACATTTGAACACCTCCGGCGACACCCCACCCTTGTCCTTTTCCGCAAGCAGCGAGAAACTGACTTCGTCCGACATACCGTGTAGCTGGCCATACGCAACCGGCACAGTGGGCAGCCCAGCTTCCAGCCGCTGGCGATGCAGTGCACTAGCCGCCATTACGGATTCGCGGTTGTGCGATGCGAGGAGCAGGTTCACCGATGGAAAGGGGCGATCTTTCCCTCCAAAGGGACCGAGCCGCTGGCGGAGAGCGCCTTGTGCTATAGTGTTGTACGCGTTATCAGTATCTTCCTTCGTATCGTGGATCAAGGCGCGATTATCAGAGAGAATGTATGCGCCACGCACGAGCTTCAGGCCCAGGGTAAATCCGTCTTTCTCAGCTTCGGCCATGTGTTGCTGAACTACGGCGGATGTTTCTTTGAGATAGGCTTGGTATGTGTTGTATATGACTGCTTTGCCTTCGCGGTTAAATTTCCGCATTAGCTCCAAGGTGGTGCGGGCGATGCCGTGCTGCCAGTGCTGAGACTCGGCATCGATTATGATTTGGATGCCGCGTTCCTTGCATTTTGTAGCGAGTTCTTCAAGGGCCGAGAGCATTTGCTGGGGTGGAAGGTTGCCTTGACTGAATGCTGCGGAGACGGCTGGGCCACCGCCTGTTGTTCTACTCAGACATTAGTCTTGCTTTTCTTTTTGTGTATATTCAAAGAGCAAATCACTGACTTTAACGCCAGAATATCGCCCTTGGAAATCAAATCTAACGTCTGCAGCGTTCCTTGTCTCCACGATTCAATATCCGCATCATGCACCACAACCTTTTCATCAACACCTTTCTCCAAACCATGATCCTTGGCAGAGCCTGCTTTGTGATCAAACACCATTTCCTTTGCATACGTCAAGATAACACCCTTGAAACCTAGATTCTTGAGCTGCTTGACACAAGCTTGCGTCTCTTTCTCTGTTTCTCCGGCACAAAACTGATTATACAATGTCCTCTTCAAAATCGCCTTTAGAATCGGATTCCGATCCACATTGAACAGGAAGCTCCGATTTGGTTTCGACAAGAAGGATAAGAGGTTCAGTGATGGTACCAGCAGGAATTTGTTAGATGATATGGTCGCAACGAATAGAGAGCGGAGTAACATGTGTGTCGGCATCACCGAAAGCGGGTACTGCACCCGTTGCTGAGCCGGTGCATGTCTCGCCGTCTCTCTTGTCCGTGGAAGCGTAGTCGTGGAGCTGAGCCGAATCCCAGGTCTCCCAAAGCCATGAGTGAGGCTCCGCCTGCCGTATACATGTTGTAGTCCTTTTCCGCTGAGTCGCGGTCGAAACATGGTTGCCCCTATGCAAGCAAGGTATTATAAGATCTACTTACTGCTACTCGGAAAAATAGTATTGTAAGAATAGAGAAGCAATGGATCAAGTACGCCTCCAAAATATGTGCCTCATTCTCCAACCAAGTACCCTTATCTCCAACCCGCCGTCTATCACGCACATCATGACCCCGCTCCCACATCCGGGACGTGGGGTGTGTACTAGAGCGTGGCAGGTAGAAGAACCGTACTAGCGCGGAACACCAGCCGATTGGTATGAAGACTCCCATACTCGGGCGAGCCTAATACTAACACGTGTATATGCGCTTATACGAATGCTACAGAATGAGGCGATAAGGTAATGTAAACCCGAAGGATTTGCGTCTCGATGCTTGAATGGTACCGCCGAAAGCGGGGTTGGATGAGCAGCGGCTTGGGTCGGGTTATCATGGTTAGACCCCGCTATGCTGACGAAATGTAGAGTTTGGATCTTGGAGCTTGACGTCTCCAAACTACACTAGTGTGCCACGTACAAGATGCTGGTTTCTGAAGATGATAGTGATGTCTTCTTCGTTTCTGATTGTTTGTGTACGTATATTCGAGCGCATTACCATAGTTGACTACTTCTTCTTTTGTCATGCAGATACTCGAGCATGATATAACGCGATAATTGACGCCACAGTATCTCATCATTTCAATTTACATACAGGGAACAAGTGTTATCTATTTATTGAAATATCCTAGAGCCTAGTGCTCACAATAAGAAAATCTTGAAAGGTAGAGACCTTTTGGAGTAGTGTGCCTTTGTATTCGAGAAAATGGCGTAACGGCTCGAAGATTGGAAGATTTGTTTTCAGAGCGAATTTTTTCATATAGAGACTATTGTAAAGCTGTATCATCGTACTGTATCTAGTTGGTAAATGTGATGAAAAAGTGGACTGAATAAAGTCTTCCCTACGCAAATTTAGCGACATATCATGATAATTCCAAGTGATCATCTATATAGGAAGAAATCTAATATAAAAAGCAGTGAGAACCTCCAATCTTAACATTCGTAGCTATACTAAAATATTAGGAATATTCCTCTTCCGTCAGCACTATATCAAGTGGCAGCATCTACAATCATTGCCAGATCAGATCAGCCAGCGGTGGATAGGTAAAGCAAGCAGAGGGTGGGCAAGGTAATATACATCAATAGCTGCAATCCTATTTAGTGTCGCCCACAGGCTGTAATCAGGGATATATATCCTGAATCTAACCTCGCATTCCATATTCCCATTCTTTGTTTTTCTTTACTCTTTTTTTGCAAGTCGTTTTCAGCAATGTCATGCACAAAAGGTGTCTTGGCAGCGTGGGAAGAAAAAAACGGCATCACGTGACAGCGACTCTTCTAACGTGCTTCATTGGCTTGGGCTCAAGTTGCTATACTAGTATCTGGCATAGGGTTTTTTTTTTAAAAAAAAAAAGGTTGCCTACTTGCTACGCTCGAGAAAAGCGACCAGTGCACGGGCGAGAAAACGTCAATGTCTGATAAAAAGAGGTACTGAAGAATCTTCATGTCCTACTGGGATGCCCAGATGGTCATCCCTACTACCTGAGATGGTACCGCAGGCAGTGGCATTGCTCTGAACAAAAAAAAACGATAACATCAAATAAATTCCCAATTTGTCCGTTAGTGGCGGGGGAATAGTGGCATCCCCCCAGTTTAGTGCGTAAGTTCACCCGCGAGCCCATTCGGAGATGCAACCGCGACTTCATCTACTGTCTTCTTGCTCTGATCAGATGGCTGCGTCCTCGCGGTTCCGTTCGCCATTCCACCCGCAAGCCCACCCACCGTATTCGTGACACCGTCAAATGACTGCAGTCCCCTATTTTCGTGCGCCAATCCATCCGAGAGCCCGTTCGGAGATGCAACCCCGACTTCAGTCACCATGTCCTTGCCCGGTTGTTCCTTTGAGGTGGGGGGTTGTTCAGCCATCTTGCAAAGGGCAATGTTGTTGTTGTTGTTACTGTCAAGCAACGTGATTGAAAAGATTGTTTTTTCAGGAAAGAAGCAAAATCAAGATCAAAAGGTGTGACTGAGGTGGAAGCAAGACCGAGTTCGTGAGGAGGATTGACTTTATAATAAAAGTGAAAGATCAGACATGGCGGTGAGCTCACAGGTGGTTTGACAGGTGGTAAGCATCATGGCGTAGAAGTTCTCGATCTCGGAAAGCTTGTATGTGTGCTTTGTGCAGTTGACCGATCGGGTCTCTGACGAAGACAACATGTAACTCTCTTATCTTACCATCTCGAGGTATCCGGCCTTTGAATTTCTTTTCTCTTCAAATCGGATATGATTATGCATACCTACACTATAGCATGAGGATGCAAGCGACTGATTACTAGCCTGATAGGGGAAATGCGTCCAGCTCTTCTCTTTGCCTTGATAGCCATCTGATGCTGCGTTCCTTGCTTTCTTTTTCTTGGGAGCTGAAACTTGCAGCGTTTATTTATTTTCCCTCTGACTTGGGTAAAGCATTGTGTAGCACTCGCTTAGCCATAACCTGCAAAGTGAATCTTTTTTGTCTTGCGAACGCGTACACAAACTGGGCATTGTGTTGGGGTGGATGATACTAACTGTTACTCTACATCTAGCATGGCTGTCTCCATATCAGCGAAAAGAAAGGGTCAACGCGCCCATAACTAATAGTATCGCTTTCTAGGTGGCACACTGGCTACCTCGTCCTCATCCAAAGTTTTCATGACCACTTCTCTCGTGCCAAACTCGACCTCCTCGCCTATGCCACGCTGCCAAGTAAGACTATGTTTCATCCACTTTTCATCGTTTCTTTCCTTATAATCCTCTCGTGCATGCGCCCCCCGGCTCTCCGTCCGCTTCAACGCTGCTGTACTTGTCTGAGAGGCGTTGGTGAGTAGGTTGCGCAGCTCTAGTGTCTCAATGAGGTCGGAGTTCCAAATGAGGGATTTGTCTGTTACACAAAGGTCTGTGGCGAATTGGTTCTCCAAGGAGTGGAGCTGAGCGTGGCCCTCAGCAAGAGTGCCGTGGGTGCGGAAGACGGCTGTGGTGGACTGCATGGTTGATTGCATCTTGCTTCTCAGGGCGGACGTGGGGGTCGACCCATTGGAATGGGTGAGGAAGGAAGTTAATTCGTGGATGGCATCGAGGCCAATGGTTTCCGGGGTTGGTTCGTGCGGTGCTGCGGGGGAGTGGTGTGACGAGATGTGGAGTGCAGCTGCTCGGCCCTGTATGGATACATTAGTAGAAAGTACGGTGAATATGGATATTCCGTCTCCGGGGTGCACGCACAAAAACAACAATGTCAAGCAGAGAGTTGGCACCCAATCGGTTTGCACCGTGGACACTGACGCAAGCTGCTTCACCTGCTGCATACAGGCCATCCACAATACGTTGTTTCCCACTCTGGCGATCTACATCCAAAACCTGGCCGTGGTAGTTTGTTGGTATCCCACCCATACAGTAGTGAACTGTTGGCAGCACCGGGATGCATTGCCTAGTTACATCTATGCCAGCAAATATTGCCGCTGTTTCTGCTATGCCTGGCAAGCGCTCCTCAATAATGTATTTTGGAAGGTGCATGAGCTGTAACTCAATGTAGTCCTTTTTGGGTCCACACCCACGGCCTTTGAGAATTTCCAGATTCATACTTCGGCTCACCACATCGCGGGATGCGAGGTTTCTTGAGACGGGAGCATAGTTTTGCATGAATGCCTCGCCTTCAGAGTTGAGGAGGTAGCCGCCTTCACCACGGGCACCTTCTGTGATTAGTACCTAGAAACGATTTCAGTATTTTGAATTAGTGACTTCAAATCGAGCATACATACGCCTGCACCATAGATACCAGTCGGGTGGAATTGGACAAATTCCATGTCTTGAAGTGGTAGGCCAGCTCTGGCAGCCATGGCGCTACCATCTCCGGTGCTTGTGTGAGCGCTCGTGGCGCTGAAGTATGCTCGCCCGTAGCCTTGAATTGCCGTCAGTATGTACACACGAAGGAAGAAAAGGAATGGGTAAACTAGGTGAAAGTATACCTCCAGTAGCTAACACTGTATTCTTAGCAAACATCCTATGACACGTCCCATCCTCCATATTCATCGCCGTAATCCCCACGCATTTCCCCTCCACCATCATCAAATCCAGCGCAAACCACTCAATAAAAAACTGCACACCGTGTTTCAGACTCTGTCCATACAGCGTATGAAGCATAGCATGTCCCGTGCGGTCCGCCACACACGCCGTCCGATACGCCTGCCCACCTTTTCCATAGTTGAGGGTCTGACCACCCAAGGGCCGTTGATAAATAGTACCTTGCTCTGTGCGGCTAAAGGGCATACCGTAGTTTTCCAATTCGACGACTGCAGGCACGGCTTCGCGCGTCATGTAGTGTATGGCGTCTTGGTCGCCGAGCCAGTCGGAGCCTTTGACGGTGTCAAACATGTGCCATCGCCAGTCGTCCCTGTGCATGTTTGCGAGGGCAGCGTTGATGCCACCTTGGGCGGCGACGGTGTGGGAGCGGGTGGGGAATAGCTTGGATACACATGCTGTTTTGAGGCCAGCTTCTGTGAGGCCTAGGGCGGCGCGGAGACCTGCTCCTCCTGCTCCGACGACGATTGCACTTTGGAGTTGTTAGTGGTGGCCAGGACGACACTGGTAGCAAAGAGGGCGTCGTTACTCGTAATGATGGTCAATAACTGTTATATTCTTGATACTTGGGCCCTTGACTGAAGCGAGACATCTTCGTTGTGTGGGGTAGAGATGTTTTGAAAGGGGAAGATTGGAGCAGGAGCGCCAGGAAGTTCGCACAACTGTCCGCATCATGAGAGGATATCCAGGGAAATGGTGGGTTGCATGAATTCCGGGAGTTGTATATCATGTCGACCTACCCCTCTGGGCGGCAAGCTGATCCTCGGCTGCATAAGATTCGGGTGGCTGGACTAACTGTGAAACAGTTCATTGGGAATCCTTCTCGCACAAATCTGAGAGCAAGAAAGTAAGAATCGATTGATACCATAACGCGTGAAGATGTTTGAGTTTATCTTTGTGTCCAACAACTAACCTGTAGGCGGTGAAACTTCAGATGGTGATGGGTGGGGTGTTAGAAAGGTGGGATGAAAGCAAGCATTGCATGACTCGCGCGATTACCAGTGGGTATAGCCGGCAGCCAATCGGGAATAGGGTAATTGAAATGCCGCAGGAACGCTGGGCGATTCTTAGTCGGCTATTTGCGATAATTTGTATGCTAGCAAATTTGTGGATTCTTTTCTAGACGCACATTTACATTCGCTAGATCCTATGCAATTACGAGGAGCGTGCTGATTTAATTGGTGGGTAAGATGTAATGTTGGGAAATGTGATATTCAACCTAGGGTTTGTGATGTTGCTAACGGTGCAAAAGTTGAATAGTGCACGCTATAGTAAGAGTAGGGAATAGATTCACAACATGGGTATTAAGAAAAAAAATAAAAAAAATAAAGAAGGTGCCCTTTTCCATACACTGCGTAGTCGCAACCTATGGCACTCTGAGCTTCAAACTGCCAAACGCCCAAGACCATGCGCCGTTTGCAGCAGCTATTCATTAAACCGTTCAATCGTGTACAATCGTGATGGAGTCGCGTAGTTTTGCGCCCATAGCCCTGGAACTCGTGCCTGATAACGCCTGTGAAACCGACTTTTGCTAACCCCCATCACCGTTGCATGTACATACCGGTGGTGGCCATGACATGTCCGTAGCGTTCATTGGCATGCCAGAGGTACTTGAGAAAAACAATGGCCTTTAGGTAGGCCTTCATGATGCGCCTTCTTCGGGCTCGATCGGCCTCGAGAATCCTGCGGAGGGCCTTTGAAACCGCAAGCGAGGAAGCCACTCTGCGAGAAGGGGCCTGGATAATGGCAGGCCATGAAGTAGCGCGGGTAAGAGCGGGCGGGCTCGCGATTGAGGCCTCTGGCAAGAAAGCGTCAGGGGTCTCTGGGACGTCATTGAGCGAGGCTGGGCGGTGGCGAGCGTCCAGGGGGTCGTACTCAAAGACTTCTGGAATGCTGCCCAAGGTGGGAGCAAAAGTCGAGGAGCGCGGCGAGTCTGCATGGGGGGACATTTGGGTGGGTTTAGTTTGGAGGGCGGATTGCTTCCCTCTGCGTGGTGGTGGTTGTGGGCGCGAGGCTTTCTTTTGGGGGGTGCGCGGCAAGAGAGGGATGGAGGCAGGCGTGGTGGACCAGAAAGGGAGGGCGAGTCGCTTAGAGATGGTTTGTTTTGCTGGGCCGCGAGGCAGCAGAGAGTCGCATGGCGGGGCGGAGAAGAGAAGCATGACGAGTAGGTGTCACCAGCGGGCAGTTGTGAATGCCGAGCTGAGGTCAAGTTGGGTCAGACTAGGGGGGGGGAGGGGGGGAAGAGTGAATTAGTCGAAAATAAAGCAAAGCAAAACAGCAAAGGGGGCCTGGGTAGCATTTGAAGGCTGGCATCACACACACATAATAATAACACTAGGTGGGGATAAATCAGGCAGGCCGGGGTTTGCAGACTGGCAAACGAGCACTGGCCACGGGCATCCATGAATAATACGGACAGGCTGGATGACGGCCATTTGCACGGGTGCGGGTGCAGGAGGGAGCAGCTGCGTGCGTGCGTGTGTGCGTGTGTATGTGTGTGTGTGTGTGTGCATGTAGGAGCAGAGCGCCGTCCGTCAGTCCGTCAGTCCGTCAGTCCGTCAGTCCGTCAGATTGCGTCGAGCCAACCGGACGAGGGTGCGACGAGCCGGCAGTTTGACGGGAAGCAAACGGTCGAATCTGGGACTGGGGAATGCTGGAAAGGTTCGGGAGATGTGCACCAAAAGCCCCACTGGATGGGAGTGTACACTACAGTGCGCATACGATGGGCAACATGGCATGACGTCGCAGAGCAGAAGTTTGGGATCGAGAGATCGAGAAGACACAGGCACCGCCAACCTCGCACTAGCCGCCCGCCGGCCAATCACGCGCCGTCCCATGGTGTGCGCCCCGCTGTTCCCGCACATGCGCACACCACCATTCACTGCCTCTCACCACCTGGCCGAGGGTGATACGCCGCCGTCGCCCACGCCGGCCTGCGTTTCGAGTAGTCGGCCTCATGCTGCAGCTCCCTTGCTGCGTCATCGGGCAGTAACCGCCTCGCGTGTCTGCGTGGCCTCTCGTCTTATGTCGTGGCCAGCCCAGTCTGCCCCGTCCGCGGACCTGAGGTGCCTGGCCGGCTGCATATACGCATACGCATACACATACACTACACCACCCATTCTACACTACCAACACCATCTTTACATGGCCCGCCCAGCCTGATACCACAAGCGTCTTGCATCATGCCTCGTGCTGCCGAATGGGAAGACGGCGGGCTGCCCTGGTCTTGTGCAACCACAGGCCTCAACCGCCCGTTTGCCTATAGCCTGCCTGCTCTGCCCGCTCTGCCTGTGCCGTGACATGTGCCTCTCCTTCTCTCCCTCTCCCTCCCGCTCTCTCTCTCTCTCCCCACCCTCTTACTCTCTCTTACATACGCTCAAAATATCCCAACCACCCGTTTCTCTCGTGATATCCGCACTAGCAGCCCGAACCAACCCACCCGCTCCAGCATGACATACACCAAGAAGCAAATCGTCACATGCCTAAGCGTCCTGGTAAGCCGGCCCAGACTGCCACTAGGACCTCGCCCACGTGTTATTTGCACCCTGCTAACCATATGCCCCGCAGTATCTTGTAATTGCGACTGCACTTGCTGGGTATGTATCGGTTTGCACTCACACTCCCTCGCCCAGCCAGCCAGCCATGCTAGCCCACTCACTAGCGCTAACACTCTCAGTTACGCTGCCTCCCGTGCGAACGCCCGTTCCGTCCCCATCGCAAAGACGCTGACCGGCTTCACCACGGCGCTTCCCATTGTCTCTGGCCTGCTTCTCCAACTGGGCTATGGCCTGACCCGTCGCCGCGAGCGCCACCAGCGACTGGGCCGTGGCGACACCCAGCAACCCCCGCTCGTCATCATCGCTAACACGCTCATCTTCATCTACTCAACTGTCATCATCACCCTGTCCGGCACCCATGTTGCCCCTGCTGCCAGCCTAGACTGCGGTCTGCGAGAGCGCTGGCAGACGCTGTTCAGGCACAAGGATGCAGCCGCCATTCAACAGATTCAGGACGCCTTTAGTTGCTGCGGCCTGGCAAACTCACGTGACATGGCTTGGCCCTTTCCAGACCGCACCCATGATTCGCGTGCATGCGAAGCCACGTACCATGGTAGAGCCAGCGGATGCTTGGTTGCGTGGAAAGCTGAGGAGCAAAAGATTGCCGGCTTACTCATGACCGTTGTGGGTATGGTCTTTCTCTGGCAGGTTCGTGGCTCCAAAAAAGATTTTTTTTTTCTCTCCTGAGGGGCTGCATGTGCTGACACTGCCCTGCAGTTTGCCATTATCGCCATACCTACCCAACAGGATTCGTGGCTCCATAAATTTGTCCCAGACCGCCTTTCTCGCGTCCTTGCTGGTGACGAAGGCGGTGATGCTGACTCCCGGCGTGCCATTGACTATGTTCCTGGCTACAACCGCTACTCGGATCGCATCGAGGAAGAAGCTGAAGATGACCATGGGCAGACCCCTGGACGTGCAATTGAAAACGGCATTCGTCACACTGACCATGTTTTCCCCTCACAGATTGGACGCGACAGGCAGCCGTCTGTGGAGAATGAGTGGTCGAGGGGAGCGTGAAATGTCCCAATGTTGAGACATGTCAAACAGCATGTTCCACTCAGGATCTCATTTTTCGACATTAATGCCAAGGCATGGCTATATGCAATGTCTTCTCCATATTGATCCATTCCAACCAGTAGTACATACTCACTTCTTTGTAAAGTACTATCTTATGAGTTGGATTCACCCATTAAGACTGCTATACAGGCTACCATCCGACACCAAGAACACTGATACACATTTCAGACATGGTGAACTCACCATGTTTAAGACTCTCCCAGATCTAACCTTTCCACCATGCATTTCACCGTACAAGTACAACAGTCGCTGCTAACAAACGATACTTCAGACATCAACACACACTACCCATGAAAACACATATATAGATGCACATCGTTTTCCTGTTCACTCTTATATCCATCAACAAACTCAACAAACTCACTAAGACAACTAACCAAGGCAGCCACTAACTCAACCTACATATACCACTACAACTTCAACTTACATATACCTACTAACTCACCCCTCTCTCCCTCCCTCTTCAACACCAAATCCCAAACTTCAACATGTTATCCTCATGCTCTAACAACTCCCCCTCCATCCCCTCAATCACCATCACGAACGACCAAGGCACTTCCCGTGCCATTTCCACGAATACCTTTGATGCCTTTCTGCCGTCCTCACATCTGTCCACCATGAGCGACCTTGCCGCAGCGAAGCAAGCAAAGAAGGATGCTCGCAACCCCACCATTTTGCTCAAGAAGAGCAGCAAGCGCGTTAGCAACGCGCTGAAAATGAAGATCAAGTCTGTGAGTAAGAGCGCGAAAAAGGACAACAAAGTGGAGGAGGGGTTCAAGGTGTTCAAGGTGGTCAAGGTGGAGAGCAAGGAGTAACAGCATTAGCTGTGGTATCTCCTTAGAGTGTTTGTTTTAGGGTGTTCTTTTGGAGTATTCTCTCAAGGAGTAAGTTATCCGTTCACGATCATATCTAATTTGGAATTTCATACAATAGAAATTAAAGAAGAGATACTGATATCACTCACTACCTTCAGACCCTCATGTGGCATGAAAAATAAAATAAGAAAATACTGCTTGCGGACACAAAAGTTTGTCGAATTTTTCCTCTTCTCCAAACTAACACGTTAATTTTTTTTGGCTAGTGCGTGTGGGTAAATTCATCTAACTCATTTCACTTATAAGTCTCCATCTAACATAGTCCCAGTCAGAACAGCCACTCCGCTACCTTTTTTTTCCCGGAAGAATACAAGCAACGCAAATATATCCTTCGATATCTAAAAAAAAAGAAAAAAAAAGCGTGGAAAAGCGAAACGGGTAAACGCCACACGCTCAAGATGCTCTGAAAACAACGTATCCCATCCAAAAGCCAGTAGAAAAAAAATGAAGGCCATGTCGAAAGCCCGTTTTCTTTTAAAATCCCACGGCAAGCATAAGGCCATAGCCCACCGTGACAATCACGGCAAACGTCATAATGGAAGCAGGCACACCGCGAGTCAAAAAGTGCTTGACGGCGAGATACCGCTGGCCCGTTCGAGAGTCTTCCATCATAATAGCAGCTAATTCCACTCGTCAGTATTGTTACCCAACAAAAAATGTCTTCGACGGAAAGATGTCAACTTACTCATATTCGGGAACCCGCTAGTAGGCAATCCCATAGCTCCACTCGCCATCAGTACCGCGCCCATGACAAGCAGATTCGGGTGCGGCTCCGCCATCTGCTGTCCTACCTGCTGCACCAGCGGCAGCACAATAAGCGCTGCGACGGTATGACTGATAAACGTCGCCACGACCAAGATCAGCGCGCAGAAAACAACGAGGACCCCGTACAGACTCATGCCCTCGACACCAGCAGTGATGGACTCGGCAATCGTGTGTAGGAGACCAGACGAATTGACTGATTTTCCAAGCGACAGACCACCCGCAGCGAGAATGATAATGGTCCACAGGAAATTGTTAAAGTCTTCCTTGGTGAGGATTCCCGTACCGAAGAAGAGCACAATGGGGATGATGGCCACGACGCCCATGTCGCCAAATATGAATTCGAGCTGATGGCTTACGCACCAGAGCGCAATGGTCACAATAGTGACAATGCTGATAAAGTACTGGACACCAGTAAATCTATCTTTGAGTGGGCGGATAGGCACAATGCTGGTACCCTTTCCGGGCTGGAAGGTGACGAGGAGAAGTACCCAGATGAGCAAAATGGAGATGATGCATACGGGAAGGGCTACGAAGAACCAAACACCCCAAGAGGGTTCGGGCTGCATGTTCTGGAGCGCAATCAGGTTTTGTGGTGAGGCAATGGGAGATGCAGCTCCACCAATATTGGATGAGAGTGCAATTCCCATCAGTAACGCTTTGGTCATGTCGGAGTCGGCAGGGAGGTTGCGCAGAATGGGCTGGCGAATGTCAGCTTTATCATCAACAGAATTCTTATCGACGAACATACCTGAATAATGGAGAAGCACAGTACAGGTGCGGCTACATTACTGATCCACATACTGGCAAACATAGCAACAAACATGTTGACCAGCAAGACAGTTCTTGGCTTGGTTCCCGCCTTGCTAAGCACAAGGGTGGCCATCATTTTGGCAATGTTGTACTTGGAAAGCGCAGCAGCAATAGTGAAACCGCCCAAAAGCAACATAATGACTGGTGTCCACATGGCGGAAAAGACATACGAAGCAGCCTGCTTGGAGTCGAGTCGGCGATGGGGCTCGACATCGCTTCGAACAACGTTAAGCGTGACAGCCAGGAATGGCACTAGAAGTGATGTGACAAACAGAGGAATCGCCTATTCTCGTTAGCCTCAGAGTGACTAGTCCAGACTCGGTTCAACATACCTCCGTCGCCCAGAGCAAACTAACAAAGACAACCATGGCCAGGCAATTCTGCTGCTCAGGCTTTTCCATGATTGGCACTACTAGCAGTACCACAAAAATGGCAATGCAAGTAAGGAGCATCCAGAAGGGCTTGCTGATGAGCCATTGGGGACATCTGTATCTTCCAATTGGCGTGTCCACCTCCTTCATGTCTGATTCGTCGTCGTCGCCCTGCCGCCGCACTCTACCACCGGTAGTTTCGCGGCCCAGCAAGGTCTGCGTAATGCCAATATTGGCTGCCTGCGCCTTGCGCTCAATGCCAATCATTTCCCTCCATACTGTATTTCGCTCCCAAACAACGTGCTCTCGGAGGTGTAGTCTGAGCTCGCGCTTGGCCTCTGCTATGTCGCCCTTTGTACCAATCTTGGCATACGCGGCTTCTATGCGCTCGAGGTTGCGTGACAGCTCGTCCATGGTGCTTTGCTGGAAGGGATAGGCGGGGTAGACGTATTTGGTTAGGTAGGTCTTCTTGAGCTTCCGGTCCAAGATCTTGTCATACTTTTTCAGAACCTTTTCAAATCCCGTCTTGTTGAGCTGGATAAAGGATCGCAGCTCGCACAGCAAAACATATACGCTGACAGTGCGCTTCTTCAATGACACACCCTCATCGTACAGTGCGGAAAAGGCCATGTCGTGGTAGTCGTCAAACGCAACGCTGTTCATCCGTCTCGAGGAAGCGTGCGAGGCCGCCATGTCCTCCTCGTTGGTCCGCCGACGTCGGCGCTGGCCATCCGGGCTCTTCTTACGCAGCCGCGATGTCTCGTCCATGTCTTCGTCCGAGTCGTCTTCGGGACCGTGGTCTGTCGAGTGACCACTTGTGCCGCTCATTGCGCGCGGGCGTTGGAATCCAATGGACTTGAAAATACTCCCACTGCGCATCTTCTTGCCTGGCGGGGCGTTTTCATTCTCCTCGTTGTACTCGGCCTGGTGGTGTTCAAACGATTCCTCATCCTCGAGCAGTGCACTCATTTCTTCGTAAATTTCATTTTCTTTGAGCTTGTAAAAGGACGTGACACGCTCGAGTTCGACGTCAAGGGCATTGGTAAAGACCTTGTCGGGGTCGGCGGCGTCGCCATTCAACAGGGGTGACGACTCGGCGTCGACATGTGCATTCCTCTGGTTGATCTGAGTCTCGAGGCTGTATATTCTATGGGCAAGCGCACGTTAGCCTGAATGCTCGCGGCATGTCGGTGTTGCAGGTTCGAACGTACTGCTTCTTGAGATTGCTGTATGCAATGTAGTGGTTGCTCCAGTCGGGCACTGCATTAAACTGCAGGCTGTGCGAGAACTTCATGTCGTCGGCCTCGCGAAGCTGCTCGAGCTTCTGGCGTCGCTTTTGGTCTTTCTTGGTATCGCGGTGCGGCCGGGGCTCGAGGGATTGGGTAGGGGCTGCGAGGTCCTGAAGCTCAAAGGCCTGGTCGGGCACACCGTCACGGAATGGGGAGGGAAAGGCGTCCACGGTGGGCGGGTTGTTGTGGAGGCTAGGGCAGCAAGCGGGCTAATAGAGCAGCGAATGCAAGTAGGCGAGCGGAGAAGTGGCAGGCAACCATGTGATGTGGGCTGCGGCATCTGGAACACGGCATGGATGAGGTTGCTCGGGGGGATTTGGAAGTGGGTGCGTTGTCGTCACCGCGAACTGTGAGGCGGCCAAGCACGGCCATGTGGGCCGTCGATTGGCTCCCCTTGACCCTCCGCCGCCGCTGCCACACCCTCACCGATGAGACAGACGAGATGGAGGGCTGCTAGTAGTACCTATACATACAGCTGAACCATCACGCGCGCGTACGTCCCACATGGGGGTGGCTTTGGGTGCGCATGTGTGCTATGTAGGAACCCTCAGCCCTGTATCGCATCCAGCTAGCCAATGCCTGCATTCACCTGCAGCAGCCTTAGTCGCCGCCACCATCCGCACCGCCCGCACCGCCCGCCAATCAGACATCGAAACGTGACTTGGTGCCTACTGCTGATTAGATAACACTTGCCGACTCACGTGCCCACACTACATGCATTCATGCACATGGTACAACTACACATCAAACTTGGTCTTTACTTGATCCATATCTAAGCACATGCTATGACCATACATCCATGCACATATCTCAAGTCCCTCTCCACGCTCATCTGACCGCTTAGACTAGATTCACGGTTAGCGCATGTCATCCGCAATACTACCATTCACGCTCAACTTACATCGGAGGTCCCAGCCAATCTTGGGTCCCAGCTTGGGCAGCTCTTCAGCAACGCTCTGCACGTCCTTGTCGCCGCGTCCAGACACGCAAATGACAATGTCCTGGTCCTTGTTCATCGTCTTTGCCAGCTCAACAGCCCCGTAGATGGCGTGAGATGTCTCTAACGCGGGGATAATGCCCTCCAGCTGAGACAGGAGCTTGAAACCAATAAAAGCCTCAGCATCATTGCATGCAATGAACTTTGCCCGGTCACTGTCCTTCCAGCTGGCCAACTCCGGCCCAACTCCGGGATAATCGAGACCAGCAGATACAGAGTGCGTTTCGAGGATTTGTCCGTCGTTGTTCTGGATAACGTAGGTTCGCACACCGTGAAGAACACCCTTGGTTCCCGCAGAAAGCGTCGCGCTGTGCCGTCCCGTCTCAATACCATCTCCACCAGCTTCGACACCCAGAAGCTTGACTGAAGGGTCCTTGGAGAACGGGTAGAACATTCCTACCGCGTTACTTCCACCACCAACACACGCAACTACAGCGTCGGGAAGCTTGCCGCATTTTGCCTGCATCTGTTCCTTGGTCTCGTTTCCAATAATCGACTGGAAAGTGCGCACAATTGTCGGGAACGGGTGAGGACCAATCGCAGATCCCACAACGTAGTGCGTCGTGTCGAGATTCACAACCCAAGCACGCATGGCCTCGTTGACTGCATCGCGCAGAGTCTGAGATCCAGCTTCGATGGCCACAACCTGTGCTCCAAGCAGCTTGATGCGGAATACATTGAGAGCCTGGCGCCTGACATCCTCAGCGCCCATGTAAATGGTACACTTCATGTTGAACTTGGCGCACACAGTCGCCGTTGCAACACCGTGTTGGCCAGCTCCCGTTTCCGCAATAATCTCAGTCTTTCCCAATCTCCTCGCAACCAATACCTGGCCGAGTGCATTGTTGATCTTGTGACTTCCCGTGTGATTGAGGTCCTCTCGCTTCAGCCAGATCTTCGCTCCTCCAGCATGCTCAGTGAGGCGCTCAGCAAGATGCAAGTGTCCTGGTCTGCCCATCCATTCGTAATATGAGCGGTATTCCTCCCAGTACTTGGGGTCCTCGATCGCTGAATTAAAGCCTTCTTCAAGTTCCCGAAGACAATCCATGAGTGATTCAGGCACATACTGACCTCCAAACTCACCAAACCGTGCCGGAAACTTGTGGTTCTCTTTGAAGTCATCATCTCCGTTTGCATCCTCCGTGTTGAGCATGTCCAGCTGGTCAGCGAGGCCGGGTCCATCGGGTGTATCGGCGTCAGTAATGACCTTGTCTACGTGAACACCAGTTGGTTCCTTGGCATCATTCAAAGTCTCAATGATGCCAACCTCGCGTGTCGTCTCCCGGCTGCTCTTTCCACAGATGCCGTCGCAGTACTCTTGAACCGCCTTTGCGCCAGTGCCAGGCGCAGCCTTGAGCAGGGTGTTGATAATTTGGCTGCCAATAACGACACCTTCAGCAATCTTGCCCACGCTCAAAAAGTGGTCGCGCGTGCTGACACCAAAACCAACAGCCGCTGGCACGTTTCCAGAGTACTTGTGCACGCGGTCGAGGAGCTGGGGAAGGGCGGCATTCATAGTTCCGGTAGCGCCAGTGACGCCCATACGAGAGACGACGTAGATGAAGGAATCGGCAATCTTGCAAAGGACGCGCATACGGTGCTCGGAGGTAGCTGGCGCGATCAGAGGGACATAAGAGAGGCTGCCCGGCATAATCAGTTCCGTCTTCGGTGCAATTGACTACCAAACTCACCCATAGCTGCGGCAGAAGTTCCTGAAGCGCAGAGCCTCCTCAGGCGGGAGGTCTACCATGATGAAGCCATTGGCACCGGCTTCCTTTGCATCCTGCAACATCTTCTCCTCGCCATAGCTCAGCAGTGGGTTGTAGTATCCCATGAGTAGGACAGGCGCCTTGAGACCCCGCTTTCTCGCATCGCGGACCATTTGGAGGACATGTGAAATCGTGACGCCATTCTTGAGAGCTTGCTATAGACACACTGTGTCAGGTGGGGCTGATGCGGGGAGTGGCGAATTGAGTCAACGTACAGTGTTGGCTGTCTGAATGACCGGACCGTCTGCAATGGGATCGGTGAAGGGCATGCCGAGCTCAATGATGTCTGGAAGCATTAATTGCTTGTCCCATCCTGTTCCCAGAGCAATCGCTTGTAGCGCATACCTGAGCCGCCCGCCTCCATGGCCAACATAATGTCGGGTGTCTCTTCGGCGGTAGGGAAGCCAGCAGTCACATATGTGACGAGGGCAGACTAGGAGTTGTCAACAATCAATTCCTCTCCAAATCGATACTGAAACGCACTCTGCCCTCCTTCTTGCATTGCGCAAACGTCTTCTTGATTCCGTCCATGATGCTAAGTACCGACGATGAAGTTGTGATAGTGAAGCAAATCCGGATACGGCGTCCTTTTTAACAATGTAACCGTGAGTCACACAGTAGGTAAGGCGGTAGACGGCTCGGGGAGTAGTATGGAGACGTATGAGTCTTTGTGCTCACAATTTATTGAGGCCGAAAGCGGCATGTCGGAGGGGTCCTAACGCCCCGGCACCGTTGATTGGATGACGTGGCCGAGGGGTGCAGGAACACCATTACTTCTAGAAGGCCAGTCCAGCCTCGCTGTCCGATTTTTCCGCGTCAACGTCATGTGGCAATAATGCGGGTCGACGATGCAACATCTTCAACACTGTACTACCTATCCGCTTGATATTTCCGCCTCGTGTACTAAGTGTGCGTCGAGTCGGACATGGCTGGAATAATGTACCATGCCAATATACATCGTATGTCTGAAACTCTCTAAAATTGATTCATGGACGCCCTCGGCGCGACTTATTCCGGCTATCCTTTTTCCCTTGCCAGAACACCTTGCATATTATTGAAACCATCCCTAGATACCAGCAGAGTAATGGGCTTATATCGTCAAGGATACCACATTGTGTAGCTTCATTTCGGACATGTTTAGCCAACAAGCAGCTTTCAGTCGGGCCTAACACGTATTCTTGCTTCATCTTGCTGAAAGCAGAACGTCCTTGACTAGAACCCCGGCTTTAGGTCCGCTTTTGTGTTTGACTGCTTGCGTGGTCAAAAAGTCTTTTTCCGAATCTGGATTCAGTTACTTGATGGCTGCTATTAATCACGATCACGGATTCCAATAGAAGACACTGCAAATGCATAGCCATGAACTTATGTGTTCAAGTGAGAAATCCAGAAGCCTGAGGTTCTAGTAATGCCGTACAGAAGCCACTCTTCTTTAGCTGCTCACTATGAATAACCGAACATGCAGGTGCTTGAATTTATGCGGCTACGATTCAGATTAGATACTTTACCAATGATCTCGGTGGCTTGAGAATATGTTCTTAGATTAATAAAAAATTATTGGGGGGCAAATTTCAGAACCTAACAATATTCGGCTTGCATCTTCTACAACTTGGTGTCGAGGCAGCTAACATACACCCGAAGAATATTTGATCAGCACAAGATATCTTTTCTGTAACTTCATGCACTGATACATTATGCTATGAACAAAAGGCATCTTTAGAAAGTGTGATGTTACAAGTATGAAGACTAATAGCTACATACCATATCAAATCACAGTTGGATTCCAGCATCGCAGTACGAAGAAGGATTTACATACCAGGCTTTGTAATCCCAATATTATCAGCACATTATGGCTGTGAAGGTGATACCATTACGATACGGCATCGAGAATCTTTATCGATATGAGAGAATCCTGATGTACTGCTGAGAGGTATGGACAGGGAAGGTGTATTTGTTGTGTGTTTGTATTTTTCTCTGTATCTCAAACTATACAACTAGTGTAGAACTATGTCCACCAACGCACAATACTCGGCGTCTGTAACTTCCTAGTAAAAAATTGCTCCAGAACATGATTCGAGGCTGTGTTGAAAGCTCTTCGATCCAACCCAAACTCCTCACACCAAACCATCTCCTCAGGTAGAAATTCGATCTGTAACCCACCCATACTTTTGACTTTGTAGTCCACAATCTAATAAGTATACGCTAAACTACACACAAAAACGCCGCCGCAAATGCCCATCAGAACTTACTAGTAAAACACGGGATTTCCGTCCTAGACGAGCAGCGCTTCCAATGTGCTGCTACGTACTCGCCTAGAAAAAAACGTACAACCGCTTCTTAACAGTGGTATCATACACCTGGTAGGGCCCAAGCAGCGATGTCCGCATTGTCGACAAAGAGAGCATCTACCGTACACCATATCTCCTATGCAATGTCCCCCACTCCGAGTCAAAAAACCTCCCAAACCCTCGAATCTCGCACATGCGGTTGAAGCATTTCTGGCACAGCTGGTTGCGCAACTTCGTTCTCTCACAGCGGCCATCTCGTCTGGGATCTCGCTCCCAACTCGGATCGGGTTGACCGTGTTTATCCAGCGGACCAATCTTCCAGTTGGCATCGATGCGGCGCCGCAACCTCGTGTCATCGAATGCGCAGGGAAAGCCTAGACGGTCGCCGTCGAATTCTTCAAGCCAGGTGCAGTTTTGCTCCCGCGCTTTGCGGTAGCACCGCACGCAGAGCTGGCCTCGATGGCGCACCGTACCGCACAGACGCGAATCCTTTGGGTTGAAATTGCGGCGCCATGACTGAGAACGGTACTCTGGATCCTTACAAGCACACAGGAATGACCAGCCTTTTCTGATGCGTTCCGCAGTTTCCAGTTCGAGTTGGCGTTTGTATGTGTTGATGACTTGACTTATTGATTCCGTGTCTGGCAGCGTTGCTGACCGCTTGTGTAGCTCCTCGAAGCTCATGTTCTTACACCAGGAGCATATCTCTGGGCCTTGTTCTTGTCCTTCTGGACAGGAGTCACAAGCAGCGCCGAGTAGGCAGTGGGTCCTTGGAGGCGGAGCTCGCATGACAAGCAAAAATCGTACAGCGATGAGTCTTGCAGTGTTAGTAGCAATATAATCAACAGGAAGATTACTTACCTTGAAGGTTTAATCCAAGTTATGTAGGGTCTGAACTTAGGATTGTGTTGTAGCCCTCCACATCGTCGTCGGATTCCTCACTGCCCTCCTCTGAGCTTGCCGACCTCGTGACGATTTTATCAACTACCTCATGGCAGAGCCCAGTTGGCGTAAAGTACTGCAGAACCCTGATCTTCCGTAGTCGTCTCCTCCAGCACTTTGAGCAGGCAGTGCCTTTTCTGCGAACAGAAGGGCAGTCGAGACGGGTTCCGCGGAGGCTCAAGTCAAGCAGTCGCCACCGACAATGTTGGTAATCGGGATCTTCAAAGGCGCACAGGTAACGCCCACGCGCTTCGATGTTTCTCTTTAGGACCTGCTTACGCGCAGTTTCCTCGTTGATGGATAGAATAGCAATAGAGTTGTTGTTGGCCCACACGCGGAGCTGTTGCGGATCGTGTCGTTGGAGACAGTCTGGACACACCCGATGTGAAACTTGGATCTTCCTCCCAATGCCGAGACAATGAGGTCCAGAAAGGCATTCGACGATTGGTGGGGGCTTGAATAGCGAGTCGGCAGCCGAAGACATTGGCTGGTGCCGAGAACCTGATAGCCTGGACTTCCGCGCTCGACTCCTTTACGTTTAGTTCAACGTCCTTGCATCTCGCCTTGCGTGACGTGCTATTTCCGGGGTGAGCGTTTGTGACGTCTGATACGGTACTCTGTATTCCTGTACCACATGATAAGACGCTTTGGAGTAGGAGGAGTCTTCAGTTAGGTACCCTAGGGTTGCATTTTGCATGCGATGGAAAAAGGATAGCGGAGGAGGGGATTAGCCGTTTCCGGGATCATGAGTAACAGCCAATGCAATCGAGCAAACCCTTCCAGACGCGGCAAGCTATGGTCACATTGATGGAAGCTTCTTGTGGCGTAGAATCTGTCCGACAATTCGTCTCAATACTGACTTGGCGGCGTGTGGCCCTGATCAGCTCGGTTGGCTAACGAACGTTGTGGCCAAACCACATCCTTGGGCCAATTAGCCACTGCCCGTAACGACACGCTCATAAACACTATATCGGGCGTTAGGATGCGCTTTGCCCAAAAGCTCTGATCACTCCGGGGTAGCAGTTTTACGGTCAGGGCATGCACACAATGCCGGCCGGCTCGTAATATGTTAGCTGGACCGGATCTCACATGTACAGTCCGGCTTCTGCCGGTCTCATTCGTCGGGCGAGGGCTGGAAAATAGTGGCGTTCAGAAGAACTTTGTACATGCAGTATGAACATAGTATGACTGCCGAATCTCCGAAGGCTGAAACTCGCCGTGATTCGATGATGCCATGATAAAGTTTCGCTTCCAACATCCTAAACGTTGCTGGAGATCATCGCGCACGTGCTAAGACTTTGCTGATGAAGCCCAAGCTACTGACTCGTCCCGGTCCATCCGCCTGACAATGTAACCAAGTCTGCGTCGTTATCTGAAACGCTGTATTATGACTTTGCTCTCTTGCTCTTGCCAGCGTTGTGCAACGGGCTACGCTTGCGGTACAAGCGAACAGTCGCTAAATTCCGATCAATAACATCCTTGTAACACCATGTGTCGATCGACGTCTAGTTCACAGAAACGACCTGTGCATGCTGGTCTGTCTGTAGCACTTGGGCACTGATCATCGAAGCTTCCAGTGGTACTAGTATTGCCTTTGATGGACATATGCAGTCAAGGAAGGTAATGTACACTATCCACTCAGCGTTCGTTGTTCAGGCGTGCGCTGCAGATAACGTTCGGCTTTACCCACGTCGAATCTTGGTAATGTGACCATGGAGCTCCCACAGGATGTGCCCAAGTCTCGACTAATTTGCCTGCACCTGACTCCAGATTTGGTAGCATATGCTATGCAGAGCAGTGAAGAATCGGAGCAAGTCTGACCGGACAAGTGGATTGCCACAGTGGATACCCTTTGGGCGTGCTGAGCTTGCCTAAAGCAATACACAATATAACGTTACAGTACGCGTATGCAATGCATGCGTTCTGTAAGGTAGTACGGCTGCGCTGCAAAATGGGGGGACACTTGAAGATGATTCAAGTGTTTGGTTTGTGCAATCCTGCCTGACTGTACATGTTCCGTCCCTAGCTCTGAACAGGTTAGGTAGCTCGTGCCTCTCCTGTAGGCGGCCTAATAAGACGGCTGGCCACAATCAACATTACGGGGGGAAGAGGGGTCACCTGAACAGTTTCATATTGCAAGGACCACTCTCCACGTCGACTCCTCTTGACACTGCACGACGAACTTGCGCTCGATGCATGGGACTGCAGAGAATACGCATTGTAACTCGCATAACCGCCATGTGCCGCAACTTGAGCTGAAATGGGATGTTCACCTTGGCTTCTTGTGAGAGCAGTGTTTCGTGA